AGCAAGTCAACTGGACGGGGCAAGATAGTCACTAGACCGGAGTAAGTCACTGAGCGGCGGTCACTGGGGCCGGAGAAAGTCACTAAGTGGTGGTCACTATGAGCAGAGCATGTCACTGAGCGTTGGTCACTATGGTTGGAGCAAGTCACTGAGCGGTGGTGCGGCAAGACTGCTGGCAACTCCGGCGGTAGCAGTGGCTGTTGTTGTGGACTGCCGTTGAAACTCTTTCCTATTTTCTAATATTAAAATTCATTAAAGGCCTTTTAGTTATACTTGGTGTAATACAGATTGGTGTGGAACTGATAAATGGCGTGTTCCTTGTGCAACGATGTGGTGTATAACGGATGAGTCATATTTTTGGATATTTGAAACTTATCTCACTTTATTGGACATCAGTTAATTAATAGTAATATTAGAATAAAAAGGCCTAAATTTAATTTTTTGAAACAAAACTTATTATTATGTTGCTAAGATAAAGTATATAAACTTTGTGGTATTTTTATTACATGTGCAAATTTGGGATGTTTACCCCACAGCTCTAAAAACTTCGGGGTATTTTAATTAAAATATTTTTCCAAATATACAATAAAGTGAAAATAACTTTTACTTTCATATATGACATAAAAAAAAATCCAATTAAAAAAATCATTAATTAGAAAGGTAAACATAAATTTGACATAACATTAAGTCAAATTTATATTTAGCAAGTTTTAACATGTGCAGTCTTGCTATATTATATTCTAGCTCAATACTCTTATTGAGAAGTTGGTGGTTGGAGCTATTAAACACATCTTACCTTATTTTTGAAACAATGATGTACATAATTAAATGAACTCATTGCATAAATTCATACAAGAATAAAATTAATATTTATGATTTTAAAATGTTTATAAGATTGGTTTTTCTCAATTAGATCATTATCTAATAATTAACTTATGAGGTTTCCTGTATAATTTTAAGGGGTTTTGCCTTGAATATTAATAATAAATGGGCAATTGACAAAAAGTGACCTTTTTTAAAAATTCCAGAAATGTGACCTACAAGTGACAAGCTTACTTATATACCTACTGCTACAGTGACACGTTACAGTGACACGAGAAACAGTGACATCCACCACCCCTTCCCACCACCTCCCACCGGTGTCCGCCGCCGCTGGCCATAGTGACAACGACCATAGTGACACCGTCACTGCCTAGTGACACCGATTTTCAGTTATGACACCCGCCAAAAGTTACTCTGGCTGCAACCACCACTCTGTCACTATGATCGTCAGAAAATTTCCCGACTCTTTATCCGGCGCCACACCGCCAACAACAACTACTACAACAGCCCCAGCCCCTCGCCTGCTCCACCGGCTCCTCTATGCCTCAAGCCCCACCCCCATCCCCTCCATGCCCCCCACCAGCCAGTGACTGCCGCCCGCTTTCCCCAGTAACTGTCGCCCCATTCCCCGGCTGACCAGGCGGCCACCGTACAACAATCCAAGCCCCAGCCCCAGTCCACCACACCCCTGCCCCACCACACCCACCCCAGCCTTGCACAATCGATGCACTAGACTTTACTCCCACCTCGCCAATGAACCACCTCCGCCCCGCCGCGACCACTCCAGTCGGCCACCGCACCCCCAGCCCCCCCCCCCCGCCCTACACAATCGCCGTCGGGAACTTCAACACAGATCTGGAAGACTGGAACCCTGGCCGAGATGACAGATCTGGCAGGGGCGGCCCCAAGGACGACAGATCTGGCACCGGCGACCCTAAATTACAGTCGACGTGCATCCGAGCGGAAGATCCAGCACCGGCGGCCATCTAGGACGACGGACAAGCTTGCACAGGCACAGTCATTAGACAGAGAAGTTTGGAAATTGAGCAACGAGGAAGACAGGTATGGTAGCGATTGCAGCAAGAAATGAGAAGAAGAAGAAGAAGAAGAAGAAGAAGAAGAAGAAGGAGAAGAAGAACATAGCAACGGCTGGAGAGCGGTGGTGGCTGGAGAGCGGTGGTGGCTGGAGAGCGGTGGTGGCTGGAGAGCGGTGGTGGCTGGAGATCGAGCGGCGGCGTTTGGAGTGTCGTGGCGGCGGACAGATAAGCCTGGTTGGTGAGGAGCTTCATATCTCGATGGATGCTCTGGCGGAGGGGGGAAGTTTGCAGACGGGGGAGAAGATAGATGCGTCGATCCTTGGTAAATTAAAAATCATATATCTGGAAAAATGAGAAAAGGTCATATTTTAGACATCCAACAGCCCACCGGTTATACTGAGGCCATTCTTTCTAATTTTAAAGTCGTTTATTGCATTTTAGTGCCGAATTAATCATGAGTCATGATCTCAATTTTTGGTGACAAAAAAAAATTACTCATGTATATTTTTAAAATGGGAATGCTTAACTCCATAATAAACTAATTTAATTTTGTATGTCTATTTCACTTCTGCTTGTATATCGATTATATAACGTACACCATGTAAGCTAATTGACACCAAATTTTACTCATGAATACTTTCAGGAGATTTATTGAATTCTATTCTTATACATATGTAGTTCTAAATTTTTGGAATCACTCCATTAAAAATGTTATACTTGGACTGATTTGTTAATCTGATTTGTCTGTTTTGATCAGATCTAATCAGATCAGGTCATATTATCGGAGCATTTTTTTAACTTTTTTTGTCAAACAGATTAACCTCATCCAACTAACAGTTCAGATGCATCATTTCAAAATCCAACTCTAGACATTAGTCTCTAGTTAAGACAATAACCTTAATTCAAACATTACCCTTCACTTACATTTCGAAGTTTCAAACATAACCTTAATCTATGAGCACGTTTGGATATTGAGAAAATTTTACATAAATAATGTATAGAACATTGTTGAATTATAATCGAACACGACAAAATTTTCACAATTCTTAATTGTATTTTAAAAATTTATTAGAAAAAAAGTATTATAAAAACGATTTCCAAAACTGCTATACTTGTTTTGCATTTAAAGTAAATGTACCTAAAGTTAATTTATAATAGATTTTTATTGCTCATAATATATCACACATACATGTATTACAAAGAATTACTCAAAAATATCATCTTTAAAATTATGGAAATTTTGTCGTGTTCAATTAGAATTCATCATATCCAGACTCCACACCAAAACAAAATGCCATGTTTATTTTAACGTGCTATAAATTTTTTATTTGTACTCCAATTGTTACAAAAAATATATATCAAAATTCATAACTTTCTATTATCTTTCATATGAAACCAATATTGACTATATAAAAATAAAAAATAATTTAACACTTTAAAACATATGATTTTTAAGTGTTGTAACATTTTAATTTATACTCCGGCTATCACTACAAATATCAAATTAATAACTTTTTATTATTTTTAAGGAAAAATTGATAAGAATAATCTCATCTTTCACTGGTCTTTTCATAATAATCTCACCTTTATGTAATCCAAAAATAATATCACCTTTACACATCATCTTCTTTCATTGGATCCTGACTTATCGATGACCTACAAAGGTGAGATTATTTATATAAGTTTTTCAAAAAAGGGGTCCAATGAAAGAAGATGGAGTGCAAAGGTGGAATTTTTATGGGATTTTGTAAAAGTGAGATTATTATGAAAAGACCAGTGAAAGGTTGAATTTTGGTATTTTGTGTTAAGTTTATGTCTCCCTAAAATACCTTTATTTTCGTTTCTTTTTGTTGTTTCATTGAACTGTATTTTGTGAAGGTATGCTTTCATGGAGAGGTTTTGGTTTGGTCCCCCTCTTCTTTTTTGTATTAGCTCATTATTTCTAATAAAATCTGGTAAATGTTCCTCGGCATTTACCCCACCGATTTTGGTGGTTGACCGACCGGGATAAATAAATATATATATATATATATATATATATATATATATATATATATATATATATATATATATATATATATATCAACACTTTAAAGTAACATCTGTTTTGTAAAAGTGCTATAACTTTTTTATTTATACTCCGATTGTTACAGGAAAATATACCAAAATTCTTTACTTTTTATTATTTTTCATATGACACCAATGTTGCATATATAAAACAAACTTATTGATTTGTGCAGTTTATGATCATTTTTTACCATGCACACTATTAATCGGAGTAATAGTTTAGAATAAAATCGTACCAATTCTAGCTCAAAGAATAAAACAATAAAAAAATAGATGGTGTTTTTGCAGCTTTATTCTAAATTATCATTCGTGATTAATTATGTGCACTGTAAAAACTGATCCTAAATTGCAAAAATTAATAGAATTAGTGTCATATTTTTATAGTCACTAAAAACAAATATTTTTTTAAAATTGATCATTAAAGGTTATGAATTTTTATATATGTTTTGTAACAATCAGAGTACAAATGAAAAAGATATATCACTGTAAAAAACAAATATTTTTGATAGTGTTAAAATTAGTATTTTTTATTTTTGTATATTCAATATTGGTGTCATTTGAAAGATAAAAAAATTACAAGTTTTGATATATTTTTGTTACAATCATAGTACAAACAAAAGAGTTATAGTACTTCAAAATAAATATGGGATTTTATTTTTTGAATAAAAAGTTATAGCTATTTAAAAAGTTTTTTAAATATTGGTATTTGCGTAGGATTACAAGTTTCCGACATATTTCCTAGTCTTAATTTAACGTGAGTTCTAATCTAAGTTAAACACTACTCTAACGGCAGTATAATTAATTAATATACTCAATTTGGAAAGAAAATCTATAATATTATAATGAGTGTTTACTTATAAGATGACATGTGGCAAAACTTTTCATTATTGTATCTTTGAAATGTATTATTTATAGATGATTATTATTTAGCAAGATGATGACAATAAGGTGAAATAAATACAGAAGAAGGTAAAGTGTATATGGTTCGTATTCAAATCACGATGAGAGTGTTACAAAAAGAGTAGAAAGAGATTAGATATTCAATGCAAGCGTCAACCTTCTACAATGAGGTAAATGACATCATTTCTTTTTTTTTTTTTTAATAAAAAGTGTATTTTATTGATAAAAGATCATATTACAAAGCGCGAAAGGAAATGAAAGTAAAAACAATACGGGAAAGGAAAAAACGAAAAAAACTAATCTAGACCCAAGGGAAATCTCTAGACTGGGACCTCGTCCTCATGCTGTGACGCCTTTTGTTTTTGTTTGTTTTCCTGTAAATCTTTAGTTGTGTGTTCGGGTTATCTGTTAGCAAGCAATTTTCCGAGGTAACGAAATTAGCCTTGCGGCAGATCACTCTGTTGAACTTAGAGTTCCTAATTTCCTCTTGGGGTGAAATGGGAAGACAACGATCATTTTCAGTTGCATGTCCCAGGAAGTCATCTGAGAAGAAAGAGTCATCAAAATGATCAAAACCGTCAGAGGCATCTGAATAAGCCTGTATCAATGACAATTGATGTTGTTTCCCTGGAGAGTAGACCTGATGAGTTAAAAATCAATTTGGAGATAGAAATTGGGTCATGTGTTTCAATAGTGTTCCCAAGCTGAAAAGAGATTGAGTCGTCCTGCCTACACTTTGGAAGCCCTGCAAAATTGGAGAAAATAGTGAGGAATTTAAGCAGGCTGGATTTGTGAGGCCCCATGGGAATATGAATGGAGCTTCCTTTCACTTTAGCAATTTTGACGTAGGAGCCTGATCTGTTAGCTTCCAAAGAAACAGTGATATCTCTAAATCATCTTTTTTTGGGTAAAATTTGCCTGATCCTGATTTGTGAGCTGAGTGATGGATCGGATGATATGAGGAGCAAGGTCCTGGTTGAAGTGAATCTTGTGAGTATAGTTTTTTTATTTCGAATAGGACCATTTCACTGCTTCTTACCGCAAATTTAAAGAACTTGGATTCGATTTTAACCGAATCAAATCCTTCTTCTCCAAAGAAAAAGAATTTCTCAACGTCATTAGATAACAGATCGGTGTCAACCCAATTTTCGTTTGTCGTGGCTGAAGATAAGTTGTTTTCTTTTAGGCTTAAATGATTTCCAATAGCGGAGGGACCGGCCAGGTCAGTGATGAGAAGGGCCTTTCCAGCTATTTTGTCTTTGGGCGATTTCACAATGTCGACCCCATGTGATTTTCTTTGTCTGTTCTTCTGGGCTTCCAACAAGATTGGTTGTGAAGACCTTTGATTGACTGTCTCTAGCTATCGGATTCCCGTCGTGAACCGTGCAAGGTACCAGCGACCCCACACAAATTGATCGAGAAACAGCGGCCGGAGATGCAGATTCTGACTCCGGTGGAAGTACATGCGGCGTATCTCTCAGGCTGACCGCTGGTCTGCGACCGGTGTCTCCGGCGTCATTGGTAGTTGATTGAATCGCCTTGTTCAATTGACGATTATCTTCCCACAACGATTGGTTCTGTTATGCTCTGTTCCTGCTCCAATTTCTTTTTGAATCTCCTCTAATCTTGTGAGGATTGTGAATCTGCTCTGTTCTGACATCATTTCTATTTATATACTCTCTCCGTCCCACAAAACTTGGCCAAATTTGACTTGCACATAAATTGATAAAGTAAAAATTGTGTGACTGAAATTTGTGCAGAGGGGAGAGAAATAAATTTAGCTACATATTCCTTACTTTAAATGGAAATGACAAAGTTTTTTGGGATGGCCAAAAAAAGAAGTTTGGCCAAGTTTTATGGGACGGAGGAAGTATAAGAAAGGAGATAGCTCATAAAATTCCCAATTTGCCCTTAAAATACATATGTGTCCTTTTTCCACGTTCCTCTCCTTTCATATTCTACTGCCACATGACTTCCTAATTTTTAAGTGTTGCTTTCCACCAGAAAAGATATGGTGTCTTTCAAAGTCCAACAACGTCGCTCCTCTTCCCATGTTTATCTTCTCTGCATTAAAGCAAAATTTCAACCTTACTTCTCTCAATCTCCTCAAGCGTTTCAGTCCAACACTGTTTTAACCCGACATTGTCGCACACACCTCTTCACCGAAACTAGGAGACCTCCAAATAATTCCGCACGTGCAAATAATTCCGGAAGTAGGGCTTCATACTCTCATTGCCCGAGTAGCACAGGTATCTCTAATTCTTCATTTCTCTTTTCATCAGTTATTTAATCTATTGATCGGGAAAAAACTTGATAAAACAATTCTACTGCTTACTAAACTATGGTTTGAACTGAGATAATTGACCTCCAGATGGTTGGCCAAGTAGCAGAGGCCCTATCTATTTCTTCATTTCTCTATATCTACATACACTCTGTGAATAGAGATCCAATCCATCATTTATTATTTTACGCACATATGTTGTTTGATTAAATGTTTACAAATGTGTTCTAAAGGAACATATATATGTCACTAATTTTTTATACAAGCAATTTTGTTTGCTTTTTCATCATGTATCATAAATTCATTTCTTGGGGGTTCTTTAGTCAAAACTTAAAATTCAGCTGATAGTAAATGCAATAGAATAAAAATACACATTTTCTCTTTATATATGTTCTGAATATATATCCGGAAAAAGAATAAACTGATCAAAGAAAAAGAAGTGCATTTTCTCTTCATACTATTTATGTGCTTAAGAATCTTAGCCCAAGTAAAAAAAAACAGAGTTGATATCGAAGACGCAATTTATTTGGTTACTGCTGATTTGGTTTGAACTGATTGTTCACTTTATTTCTTTACTAAAATCCTTTTTTTGTTTGTAGCCTTTTGATATGCCTGTTTTGAACTGATTGTTTAGTTACTCTTTTTTCATCTCAAGCCTAGAAATGAAGAAGAATAAGAAAGTAGGAAAAAGAATTAAGGGTCTAACTACAAACTCTTTTCATCTATATATCAAGATTCATTTTTGGGGGTTACGTTCATCTGTATCCTGGATTCATTTTGCAAATTCATTTGTCCAGGGGTGTGTTATTTTCAGTTTAGATGAACTATTATGAATGTCAAAATATTGTATCTTTCTACTTTTATTTATTTCTATTTTCCTTTTTAGATGATGATTATTAATACACTATTTTATTGTGATTTTCCCATATTATTGTTATTCATTAAGGAATATGAATTATTCATTGGAAAATGATACAAAAACAACATTTTCGATTTCATTTTTTGCTTAATGGAATTAAAAGTAGAAGCTGCAGAGAGTATTGTTTGACGTATATCGATAAGAAACTTGAAACAACATTGAATATGTCCAAATGTGGTTGTTTTTGTTACGGAGTATATGGATAAGAGTATATCTGTTTAAGTAGTTTGTCCTTATATTTTTGGACCAGAGCTTAGTATTAGATTTTAATCATTTTATGATCTGCTTTTTTATTTTACTATACTCACCTTTTTATATCTAATAAATCATGTTCTTTCTGTTTACTTCAGGTTTTGATTGAAGACTAACCAGCTCAAGAATTGAGTTCTATACTAACATCGCTCCCTAGCTCTTTTTTACGGCCTTTCCTTACACTCTTGAATAAAGATTGACCGACTCACATATTCTACTAGTTTCATGGCCTCCCATAACCACAAGCACATGGATTCGCACTTTATACTCTTCAAACTATGCTTGGATTTGATTTTAGTAGTCTTTTGTACTACATTTGAGAACTAAAGTTTATTTTCTTCTTTTTTTAACTATACCGACCTTTTTTATACCTAATAAACTATGTTTCTTTCTATTGTACTTCAGGTTTTGATTGAAGACTAACCATCTCAAGAATCGAGTTCTAACTTATGAAGTAAGAATGCTCCATAGCTTTTTTTACGGCCTTTGTTTATACTCTTGAATAAAGACTGAACTACTCACGAATTCTACTACTTTCATGGACCTCCCATAGATAGGCACATGGATTCACACTTTGTATTCTTTAAACAATGCTTTAGGATTTGATTTTAGTAAGCTTTTAGATTGGACTTTAGAATTAAAGTTTATTTACTGCTTTTTTTTATAAAGTTATATTGACCTTTGTTATATCTAATAAACTACGTTCTTTCTATTTACTTCAGGTTTTGATTGAAGATCAACCAACTCAATAAAAAAATAGTTTCTCACACAAACTGTTTAATGCTTTTAAGCTTCTAAGCTTGAGTTATTACTCTTCGTTTAAGCTTAATATAGTCTTCTTTAAGCTTAAAGTTTTTCTTAGTTCTTATTTTCAGTTTCTAAGATTGAGTTACTACTCTAAGAGCCCAGAATGCCTGTTTCACATTCTGCCCACAATTCATAACATTCGAAGCATTAAAGTTCATATTTAGTAGAAAACGTTTTTTAAATAAAAAAAAGTTAGATTGCATAGAAGTAATACAAAGTGAGTTACTTCTTACTCTCTCAGTAGAATCAAGGGACTTGGGACAAGGCAGCTTGAGAACTCATCTCCTTGATGTCTTCAAGAAGCCTTTGAACTCAGTAAATAGATAGACTTCAATCAAGCATTAGCTAACTATTCCCATAATAAATACGGGTATAATTACATATTATCCTTCACGTCATTTGTGGGTTTATTGTTCTATTCGATGATTGTGGTAATGCACTCGACTTATTGAGTTTTTATTTGGAAATGATCAGGTAACCCATCATCATGTAATCTATATTTTTATTCGTATGCTATATTTGATACATTAGATACTTGATAAGGCAGTCGTAATTTTTCGACATGAATTTCAATAGGTTAACCTTTTCAACTCCGTGTATTTTTATCCTCTTTTGTAATATTTAAAAAGAAAATTGTAATAGATTTAAAGTTCAAATCAAGCTAAAATCATTTTTTTTATTTATAAAATAAAGATATTTTCAAAATATTTTATCTTTTAAGATCAAATTGAATGTTTAAATTTTGAGATATAAACCTGATATGTCTTTCGCACACAAATGTAAATAGCTTCAATCAGACTGAAATGCTAAATGATCATGTACACACCACGTCACCCTGCATGAATTTGAATGTTAAAATGAATTTCTAACTTTGATTTGTCGCCACATTTCATTTTATTGTCAAGAAGGATTTCATAATGCAATATACATATTGCAGCCGGGGAAGAAATTCATTTCATTGGTATAATATGTAGAAGGAGAACTCATTACCTACCAAAGATTTTTCTGAAGGTTGTTTGCTCATATTATTTCATTGGTGTTTACTTAAGATTAAACTCCAAATGTGATGAACAAAGCAGAGATATTTTTGCTGCTGACTCAAGACGAAGTTATATACTACGCTATGGATATGCAACGAAGATGTTTATTTATTCAATGTGTTGTTTTTAGTTCTGCTGGTCAAATCTTTTAAAATTGAGCGTTATCTACTCATTTCATTCATCTAATGTCTTATTTCCATTCCAACTCATTTTGTCTTTCTATATTTGGTTTTCTTTTCTGCTGAAACTGATGTTATTATTTTTTCTATCCCATTCTGGCGAGAAGGGTTCTATATATCTTGTTGAATGCTAAGATGAACTTAAGTTCTGAGTTTGTCACGCTTGAGTAAGGCACTGAACTTGAGTCGCCAAATGACTGTTGATCACTCTCTTATATCAGAGGTTGTGTATGAATTTCAATATACATGTAGTTTCATAATTCA